GCGCAGGGCACCGTCCACAGCCCCCCCATCCCTCCGGCGGGGGGGGAGGCTCCGAGCCACCCACCCCACGATAGCCACACTGCACTCTGGCCCCACGGCCACCAGCCCAGAGCTCCTCGCTGCCTGCCCCATCTGGGGTGGGCACCCCCGGGCATGCTGCGCCGTCCCGCCTGCGCTTGCACCCCCGCACCCCCCCGGCGTGCACCCACCTCCTGCTTGAGCCGCTTGGCCACGGTGGCTCCGCTTTCGTCGGGATGTGCCCTGTGTGTGTGGGGGGGGGAGATGGGGCTGCGTCAGGCGCGGGGGTGGCAGCGGCAGGCGATGCCCGCCCAGCCCCCTGCCACGCCGCGGGCAGCGCCAGCCACGCGTGGGCGGCCGCCCGGGCAGGGCGGTGCCGCGGGCCGGCGCGGAGCGGGGCTTTGGCGCAGATGGAGCCGGGGGCGGCAAAAGGCGGGGGAGCAGCCGGGGGGAAAAGGCAGCCGGGCCGTGGCACCCGACGGGCAGGGGCTCAGAGGGAAGGGGGCAAGGGGCTTCCTCCGTGGCACCCCCCCCCACCCCGGTGCCCGGTGTCCCCCCATCACCTCTGCCTCCTGCACCCCCGAGGGTGGGCAGAAAACAACACACCAGGGAAAGGGGAATGTGGGGCTGCAGGGTGCAGAAGCACCGGGTTGTGCCGTGGGATGAAGGGGGGTGAGGATGAGGCCCCCCCCGCCCCCCAGGTTGGTGAGGAGGGGGTTTGCCCGGGCAGGGGGCTCACCTGGTGACCTTGAGCGAGGACAGGTACGTGCTCTCCCGGGCGACCTGCCGCGAGAGGGAGAAGAGCTCCACGCGCCGCAGCAGCAGCGAGTTGTCCCGCAGGCAGAACTGGGCGGCCGCCTCGTTGATGATGAGCTGGGGGGCAGAGACCACGCGTGAGCGGGGACGGGACCCACGGCAGCCACAGCCTCTGCCCTGATGCCACCCGGGGCGGGCGCAGACTCCGACACCCCCCAACTCCATGCTGGAGCCCCCACCCCAACCTCCTCACGAGGCCTTCTCCAAACTCCCTCCACCTCCGGAGCCACCCCGGCCCCAACGCATCCCCTGGGGCCTTCGAGCCCGGCCGGCGCCGCGCACCTCGTGCAGGGTGAGCTGCTTGCCCTCGCGGCGCCGGGCCTCGCCGCGGCCGTAGATCGCGCTGTGCCGTCTGATCTCCTCTTCTTTGTGCCGGTCGCCGTCCTCCAACTGGAAGATGTGCCCCACGGCCTTGGCCAACTTCTTGTTGAGCTTCATCAACGCCCGCAGCTCGGCCTCGCCGCCCCGGGGGCAGCTCTGCAGCAGCCTCTCCACGCTCTCCGCCACCGTCCGCGCCAGCTCCGGCTCCAGCGTCTCGGTGCCCGCCGCCTGCTCGCCACCGCTCCCACCCGGGGAGAAGGGAGGACCCCCCGGTTCCTCATCCCCACCGCCCTCCGACTCGGGGGTGCTCCTCCCCGGCCACGGCGGGGCTGCCGACGGTGACAGCTTCTCCCCAGGCTCCGTGGGGCTACGGGCCGGGGGCGTCCCGGCACCGCCGCCCCCTTTGCCAACGGCCTCGCCGGGGCTGGCGTGCCCGTTGCTGAGGGCCTTGCGCCCACCGGCCTCGGAGAGCTTGAAGAGGGGGATGCTGCTGACGGGGACGGCCGAAACGGGCTGGCTGAAGAGCCCCGGGTTGGAGGCCCACTCGCGTAGGGCCTTCTGGAGGCGGCGGACGTGGAGGGGTTTGGTGGCCATGCCCACCAACGCCATGATCTCCAAGAACTCCTCCTCGCCCGCCTCGCAGAGCTGCTGCACGTCGTCCCCCCCTTGTTGGATGAAGGTCTCGTAGTAGCCCAGCAGGTTGGCGCGTTGCAGCACCCGGTAAAGCTGCAGCTCCCCCAGCGTGCGGGGCAGGGCCATGGCGAGCCTGCGGGACAGACCGTGTCACGGACAGACGGACGGACAGGCAGGAGAAGCCCCCCACCCCACACCCCCTCCC